TTTTTTTTTTTTTTTGAGGCATAGTCTCACTCTTTTTCCCGGGCTAGAGTGAGTGCCGTAGTGTCATTCTAGCTCACGGCAACCTCAAACTCCTGGGCTCAAGCGATCCTCCTGCCTCAGCCTCCCGAGTAGCTGGGACTACAGGCATGCACCACCACGCCTGGCTAATTTTTCTATTTTTAGTAAAGACGGGGTCTCACTCTTGCTCAGGCTGGTCTCAAACTCCTGAGCTCAAGCAATCCTCCCGCCTCAGCCTTCCAGAGTGCTGAGATTATAGGCGTGAGCCACCGGGCATGCACGGCTAAGCAACATTGTCACTGTCATGCATATCCCAGCATGCCAGTGGTGGCAGTTAGGAAAACTTTTTGTGACCCTCATAGCTGTCTCTTGTCGGTCTCGAGCAGTCCCTCTGGGCATCTCTGTCACATTAGTCCTTTGGTAGCCTTAAATGAAGGAATTGGCCCTGTTTTATGCTGTACCTCACTGCGTTAAGCTCTGTATTAGTTCCAGGTTTTAGTTTATTTTAAGCCTGCATTCTGAACTCTAAAGTCATATGGATATAGAATGCATATCTTATCATAGTATGGAAGTAGAGAGGGGCGTATGATACTCAGGATTGTTCTGGTTTAGGTTCTTAGCATGCCAGGTGGGAACACATAGTGGTTATTATATCATTAAGCAATCAGTACTTCTTGACCTTCCATTGTGTGCAGTTACAAAGAAAGTTGAATACATAGCCTTGACAATTGGGGATCTTCCAATTAAATGGAATATATATTATAGATATATTGTCCTTCCTTTGAAACCATAAACAGCTTTAGCTATATAGAGATCTACACATGCAAGGAGAAGGATTCAGTAAGTATTTAGAGTAAGTGGAATGCATTTCAAGAAACAGTCGGTCTTAGCAGAAACGTTTAGAAGGGCGAAGAGGGAGCGTGGAGAGGAATTCTGTGTGAAATTACTTGACGCATTCTGACTCTTGGTATTTGCTTTCTGTAGATTTTTTCGGGTCTGTTGGTAAATCTCACAACCATTGCTTCTTGGCTCTCGTGGCTCCAGTACTTCAGCATTCCTCGATACGGCTTCACGGTAAGTTTTCTTGGCCTGTCGTGGTGACTGGGTTCCCAATCTAGAAACAACGAAAATAAAGCCCACTCATCTCATTTCCCCAGCCAAGAGCTGTGAAAGTTTCCTATCCAGGAATTTCTTTTTAGGAGCAAAGAATGAGAATTTCCTATTAGCTTTGGGTAGCACAAGGCCAGGAAGTCATTTGGGCTTTTTCCCAGTCAGTCGTCCTTTGAGGGAGGTGTGGGAAGATATCGCACAGTGAAGAGGAAAGATTGACTAATTGATGAGAAGCATATTGTTGCGTTTCAGCTCAGTAAGAAAATAAATGAAAGGATGGGAGATGAGACTAGAATACATAATTTATATTGAAAAAGAAATTAGTATAGAAGACAAAGACCATATAATATTATATTAAATAGCCATATTGGCTTTTGTAAGCTCATCAACTCCAAAGAAAACTGTCTGTGTCTTAATACATTATAACCAAGTTTCCAGCTCCCAGGAATTACAACTGGTGTTGATGGAAACAAACAAAAACAAAAGATTGTTACCACAAATTAACAGTGCTTATGAGCTATGGCGTAATATAGCCAGAGGTCTCCCCTTTTGGCCAAATACTTTACTTCTTTTGTACTGGAAGCCAAAATCCCAGCCTTAGCCCCCTGATTGTCAAGGAAAATAACTTTAGTAGCTTTGGTGTCAAAAAGACTGTGAATGTGAAACTTGGTATGTTTTTAGACATAGTAATAATAAAGATTAAACTTGGAGGACATGATTGTGATCATTCTTAAGAAACTTTCTGAAATTGAAAACTGTTTACCTTGCCCCGCTTTCCCTTGTTTCATAGGCTTTGCAGCATAATGAATTTTTGGGACTAAACTTCTGCCCAGGACTCAATACAACAGTATTGAGTAACGATTCCTGTAGCTATGCAACGTAAGTCTGGGCTCACTGTCATAATGGGTTTGCTTACTACTGGGGTGTGATGTAGAAAGGCCACAGGGCCTGGAGCTGACAAGAGTTCTTCCAGGATCACCGAATATTTCTAAACCTACATTTTCTCATCCAGAAAGTGAGTTGCTGTGCACTAATGCATGCGAACACGCTGTACAACTCCTCCGTATTCTGCTCTAGTCGAAATCGTATTTAATGTGGCGAAACGTTTCTTATGTGTTGCTTGCTTGTTTGGGGCCTTTCTTTTTTTGTTTTTTGATGTTAAATAACAAGCATTGGTTTGTAACTCACAGCTACAAGTCCAGGCTGGGTTTACCTCTAAGCTTCAGGTTGGGTCCAGGCCTGCATGATGCGTTTTTCATCCTCTTTGGCTCGAGAGCCTCTCTTTTGGGTCTTTTTTTTTTTTTTT